TTGGCGGGTTCAACTGGTTGGGTTAAAAATTGATTACAATAGCTTCAATTATTTCAAGGGGAGGACAAACACTATGCACATAAAGTGATCCATCCAAAAAATGAATGGCCTAATTCATCTATAATAATGACACTATAAATGGAAGGTACCATCAACACTGACCTGGCTACGCTTGGAAATGAAGCAAATAGTGTAAATGCAAATATGCAAAGTGAATTATGGTCCATACAAATGCAAAGTTGGGTTAGTTTTACATGGGCAAATTTACTTTTTCATCAAACGTCTTTTAGTTGTAATGGATGCAAACATGAATCCCGATATAGAAATATACCTTTTTTAACATTAACCACTTTGAATGCAAATTTACTTCTTTTTTTTTATGTAAATTTACCTTTTATTTTAGGTGTAAACATGCCTTGAAAATTATGTTTTCTAACATTATTAATACACAAATGCTTTCTTGCCAAACACTAGCAAAACTAAACCAGAATGTATATTTGTATTAAACCAACATTTATACCCTATTTGCACCGTTTCCATATGCAGCCTTAGGAAGGCATGAGGAGATTTCATCCAAGAAATATTAGAACTTAGCTCAGTGGGACAAAACACTTATTATTATTAAGAATTGAGCAAGGACATCTCATGAAAGGATTAACTATTAAGTATTAACTTTCAAAAAGTGTTCATATGTCCTAACTTCTCATGGTTAGCATATATCTATCAGTAGACAAAATCCATATCATTCATCATTTAGTCAAAGAAAGCGATAGCTTGATTGGCATACAATAACAGAAGATGGCCCCTTCCCAGATTTATAGATAAAAAAAAAAAAATCCTTAGGTTGGTGGTGCCCTTTGATATGAAAGATTGCTCTCGATAAAACACTGTGAGAAACCTTCTATGGAACAAGTTTCATGTGGCCGACATAGTTAGTTGGGATGAGATGAGTTGGTAGTAGCATCCAACTCTAAAGTAAAGATCTTTTAACTTACCAAAGGTAATAACTAATAAACTTAAATATATAGATCCCACAAAAATCATTTCTAAAGTTATGTTTGGTTTGAAGGAAAAGGTAAGGAAAGAAAGAAAAAGATAAAGAAATTTGTTTTTTTTTTTCCTTCATTTTTCTTTCCCTACATTTTCCTTCAAACCAAACATAGCCCAAGTTTAAAATGACTATTAATAGGGATTATAATTTATTTGGATTCTAAACTATTGCGATACAATTGGAAAATGACGGAGGAATTAAGACATGTATAGATATGTTTAGGAAACGAATATGAATCATATTAATATTTAAAAATACAGATCAACATAGTAAGGTATGGATTCCTATAAACCATGAGTTGATTTGCATATAGATACTCAAGGGTCTAGAAGAGCTTAGGGCAAGGAGAAGGCTGATGGTGTATGTTGGGAGAAGGCTTATGGCCCTGTTTTGGGAGGGCTTCAGTTTTGATTGAGCTGTTTAGAAGAACCTAGTAATAATAGTTTCATCAGAAAGCCATTTTCTTGCTCTCTATAAAAGTGTATTTGAGCTATCCGGATTTTTTTCCATCAAACATGGTTTTTGGATTTTCTGAGCCCACCTTGCAAAGCAAAAACCATTGTATGAAAGTACTCCCAAATGGGGACTTGAGGCCTGTTTGTCAAATCTTTTTTAGTATATCTTTCAACAGCCTAATAGACAAAAAGACACACTGAGCTTTTGGGATCTGATCTTTAAAGACCAAGACTGTTTGGTTTATGTTGTGGTCTACCGAGCTGTTAAAAACAAATGGAAAGGCTATTTTCAGCACAAGAAGACAGCTTTAATCTCCGATTTTCAGCCTTTTCAGTCTTTCTGTGCAAACCAAAAAACACTGAAATACACGCCAAACACCACCTTGGTTGATTTGAGCATATAACCAATATACACTAGGGTTCAGTAAAAGGATTCCTTACAAGAAGCGTAGTTGGTGCACCTACACGTACAGTTGTGAGTTGCGTGTTCTTCACGACTGTCGACTGTACTCCATGGGCGTCTAATCAAAAGCCTCTTCAATGTGTTTCCTTCATAGATAAGACAGTCGTTATTCCTTTTTCTTCGCGTTTTCATTGCAAGTAGTAAGCTTTAGGGTCTCTGCATTTAAAGCACAAAACATATATATGAAAGCACAAAAAAGTGCTTTTGCTTCAGATTGTTCAAAATACTTTTTATTGACTTATTTTTGTTTTCCATAGCTTAAAACTCAAAAGCGAAAGCTCATATAAACGTGGTCTATGTCTGTCGGGGTCGGGATATCTTGCTTGGAAGAAAGATCGAGTCAGTGGAATGTCATTCTCCAGTTTGTTTAGAAATTCTGGGGGAACATCAGCACCAACCATATTTGCGATGTTGTGTGTGGAAATTGAAAGCAACTCAAATTATTTGACATAAAAACGATCGACTAATGTGGAGATGGTGACCATTTGATTTGGAAAGGTCGTTAGGAAAATGCTCTTTTTTCTTTCTTTCTTTCTTTTTCTTTTTCTTTTTTTTTTTTTTGAAGTTTTGAGCCACGGCGTACATGTGATAATAAAATGACAAAAATATCCTCATTTCATTAATAAGGTTATTTTATATTTTTTGGTAAATAATTGAGCTTATCACTATGGTATGTAAATATAAATATAGAGTTAACTAGAGGTTGTTTGATAATAACTGAAGAAGCTGAACTAAACTGAATGACATGTTCTTAGGGTAATCATTTTCAGCCTGTCCCGGAAATTCTGGGTATGGGCTTTGATCAATCATAACCTCTCATGAATTTTGGTAAAAAATTCACCTGATTGATTCTTTTTATGGTGCAGGTTGATTGGTTGTAAGTTTTTTCAGTATTATATATTTCCGATAGTCAAATCCATATATAATATATTATATATTATGACATATAATTTTATATTATATAATGTATAAAGATAATTTTTGTACATAAGTTATGAAATATAATTTAATATATTTATATATTTGATATTGTATAAATAAAAATCATAAGCCCGGGCCTGGCCCAGCCCAGCCCATGACCACCCCTTAATCTGTCTTTAGTGAATAATTGATTAAGTAGATTACAAACTCTTTATGTAAATCAATTTTCCTATTGTTTAAGGTTTTTTTTCTTTAATATTATATATTTCAATTGTGCTTAGGAGATTGTTGGTCGGATGGCTGGACTATTATAGCCCTCATAATACCAAACACAGGGCAGTTTTTTAGTTAACCCAACCCGAGTTGTTGAACCACCAATCCTAACCCTAACCTAACCTGATGACTTTAGGTTAGTTCTTCGTGTTTGTTTTTTTTTTTGTTTTTTTTTTTTTCTCTTTTACTTCAAAAGAAATGGTCTCACTACTTAAACTTAAGATTGGTTTACTAGAAAGGTTATGGTGCTTTAGGATACTTATGGAATACAAAAGCCTTTGTCTTTAAACTCAAAATATGAACAAATGTCAGGATTAGGCTGGATCGAATTGCACAAGTCTCAACACTAATTGAATCTGAAGCTACGTTGGCCGCATTCATATTTTTGAACCTTAACCCTAATCTGACCTTGGGTAATCCAGAAAAATTGGGTTGGGTTAAGTTGAGCCTTGGCCAATTCGACCCAACCCAATTTTTTTTAACTTTTATAGAGATATGCATTTAATTACTCATGTATATGCATGCCATGTATGTATACATGCAACATACATGCAATTATGAATCCATTAATGCATACATGCCTGTGAAATCTCTGGCTGCTTGTTGTGGAGATTTAAGATTGAATTCCTTCTAAGCCAGAGTTAGGGATGCAACTTGGGTTGACCCAAGTTAACATTTTACAATGCTTCCAACCTGAGTCAATCCAAGTTGAATCCCAAAAGACAGTTGGGGATGGACTCCCCTCCCCCGAGTATGAATTCAGTCCTTACAAATAATCTCTTATTTGTATGTTTTCATTCATGGGAGATAATTCCCAATGCACAGTTACAAATGGCTGTGAGTATGGTACGTTTTGTGACTTGTGAGGACTGAATTCGAATTCCCCTCCCCTCTTTCCCCCTCCCTGGTTGTGTAGCCCCATGAAGAAAAAGAACATCCAACAAGAGAAAGTCAAAGTTGGACCAACCTGAATATAATCTAAAGTCATTCTGAAAACTTTAGGTTAGGGTTCCACAGCTCAGGTTGGGTCAATTTAATCTTACTGGACTAATAACCCCTACTTGGAGTTCAGATCTGCACCCCACAATATATCTCCGTCGTGTATTAGGAACATTTCCCGATAATAGTACAGAACCAATAATGTCATCATCATGAGATATTCCCAATACATGATGAAGATATTCTGTGGGACATTGTGGGGTGCTCCCTTGTGGGCGCAGATGTGAACTCCCCTATTTGGCAATAGACACTGAACAGAATGAAATGAAGCAGGATTCATGTAGCCAATCCCTTATTTGACAAAATTTAGATGATATTAATGATGGCTGTGAACCCTAACCTGACCTTCAACAAACCCAAGTACGTTACCATGGTTTTTTTTTATTTTTTTTATTTAACCCAGCTCTAGTTGCATCTCTAAAGAAAAAGAGGTACCTCGGCTAATCAGTTTGACATTGCGAGATTGGAGTTGGAATTTCTGAACACTTATAACTATGGCTGTCTAATCAAATATTAATTAGTAGCAAGAAACTTTGACATTTTACGATAAGGGTATTTTTGGAATATACATTTTCTGTTGGGAAACGGTAGAACGAAGAAGAAATTTGAGGTCAATTAAATAAAATAATTTCACTTTGACAACACTCTAAAGTTAACGCGACCAATGTTTGGTCACTTGGTCTGATCAAACTGATGAGAGTAGAGCCCTAGCTCTCGATCGCTTTCATTTTATTGTTACTGACTTCATCACCTAATCAACTCCACTCCAGGCTTCTGTCTATATAAAGAGACCTCACAAGCTTCCATGGCCTCATACTCAAGCAGCCAGTTGGATTAATTAATCTTGGCCTCTTGTCTCCCCAAAGAGAGAAAGATTGAGATGGGTTTTTATCTTCTTTCATCACCGACTCTGAGAGCTATTCTCATGGTCTTGGGCACCCTGTGGCTCCTGCCGGAATTCATGGTGGCCCAGCATTCAGGAATCACCAGGCACTATAAATTTGATGTATGCATATTGCATAGAATCATAGAATTCTGTCAACATATGTCATAGCTAGCTAACAAATTTTTTCTTTTGTATGTTTTTCCCTCACTTTGGGTAAATTTGAACCCACATTGCAGATCAAGCTTAAGAATGTGACAAGGCTATGCCACACCAAGAGCATTGTGACTGTGAATGGCCAGTTTCCGGGGCCCCGAATCGTCGCTCGGGAGGGTGACCGGGTGCTTATTAAGGTGGTTAATCAAGTCCAAAACAACATCACCTTGCACTGGTAAGTGATTGTGGTGTTTAATTATTAAGGTAGTTGTGTTTGGTTTACAATTTACATGCATGATTAATACTTGAATTAAGTATGGTAAATGGTTGTTTATGGAAGAACAGGCATGGAATTCGGCAGCTCCGGAGCGGATGGGCGGACGGGCCGGCCTATGTGACTCAATGCCCCATTCAGACCGGCCAGGCCTATGTATACAACTTCACCATTACTGGACAGAGAGGGACTCTGTTCTGGCATGCCCACATTTCATGGCTAAGGTCCACCCTTTATGGACCCGTTGTCATTCTTCCCAAGCGCAATGCCTCTTACCCCTTCACCAAACCCTACAAGGAAGTCCCCATCATCTTTGGTAACTAAATGACTCACTAACAACCAATGAGATGAGTGAAATCATTAATTGTGTAATTGTGCATGGTTTAATTTGTTCTAGTTATAATTTCACCAACAAGCAGAATCTTGACTTGAATTTCCAGGAGAATGGTGGAATACAGACCCTGAGGCTGTGATCAGTCAGGCTTTGCAGACAGGAGGGGGCCCAAATGTCTCTGATGCCTACACCATCAATGGTCTTCCCGGTCCATTGTACAACTGCTCGGCCAAAGGTAACCCAACCAACCACTTTCAGCCCAATTCGGGTTTGGCCCAAGAACTAAACTAAACCGGCCAGTCTAGCTAACTGATGCTTTGATTTGTTTCACTTTGTCAAATGCCTTAATTGACAGATACATTCAAGCTGAAGGTGAAGCCTGGGAAGACTTACCTCCTCCGTCTGATCAACGCTGCACTCAATGACGAGCTATTCTTCAGCATCGCCAACCACTCTCTCACAGTTGTTGACGTGGATGCAGTCTACGTGAAACCCTTCGACACAGAGACGCTTCTTATTACACCAGGCCAAACCACCAATGTCCTTCTAAAGACCAAGCCTCACTACCCCAACGCCACCTTCCTCATGGCCGCTAGGCCGTATGTCACCGGCCTTGGCACCTTCGACAACTCCACCACTGCCGGAATTCTCGAATACCAACTTCCATCCACCACCACCACCACCAGATCATCATCAGCAGCTAAGAAACTCTTGAAGCCAACACTTCCTCCCCTCAATGACACCACCTTGGCCACCAACTTCGCCAAGAGATTGCGCAGCTTGGCCACAGCTCAATTTCCTGCAAATGTCCCTCAGACTGTGGACAGGCGCTTCTTCTTCACGGTAGGCTTGGGGAGTAGCCCATGCCCGCAGAACCAGACCTGCCAAGGGCCTAACGGCACCAAGTTCTCGGCCTCAATCAACAATGTCTCCTTTGCACTCCCCAACACCGCCCTCCTGCAGGCTCATTTCTTTGGGCAGGCCAAGGGTGTGTACACCACTGATTTCCCCACAAACCCACCCTTTCCTTTCAACTACACCGGCACTCCACCCAACAACACATTTGTGAACAATGCTACCAAGGTTGTGGTGCTGCCTTTCAACACCAGCGTCGAGCTAGTGATGCAGGACACTAGCATACTTGGTGCTGAAAGCCACCCTCTCCACCTCCATGGATTCAATTTCTTCGTCGTTGGCCAAGGATTCGGTAACTTTGATCCCAACAAGGATCCTGCCAGCTTCAATCTTGTCGATCCTGTGGAGAGGAACACCGTCGGTGTGCCATCCGGCGGTTGGGTAGCCATTCGCTTCATCGCAGACAACCCAGGTGGGTAATCCTCCTCCTCCTCCTCCTCCTCAAAGCCTTATGATCCCAATCATATGGCAGACAACCGAACCGTGAGCCTTATTTTTTTCCAAAACCGAACCGGTACTACCGTTTTTTTGGAAAACCGGTAACCGAAGCTGATCGGTTAATCAGTTGATTCGTTTGATTAACGGTTGGTTTTGTTTATCGGTTTTTTTTATTTTTATAGTATTATATATAATAAATACAAAATATTATATTATAAATAATAAATAATATATTATATATGTATATATTCATTTATAAGATATAAATAATATAAAATATATATGAAAAATATATAATATACATAAATATATGTATATCGGTCTGTTTGGTTAACCATTGATTTTTTATATTGGTTAACTGAAACCACACCGATCCCTTTAATTTTTTGAAAGTACCAAACTGATCAGTTCGATTAACCAGAATTTTTGATTCGGTTTTTTTGGCTTTTTACAATCACCCTTAGGCTTAGCTATATAAATCTTAGGGTCATTTACTCGAACATTCCTTGTAGTTTCATGGATTTACTAAAACCTAACTATAATTTAAAAAATGACAGTTTTGACCTTAACATTCCTCCAAACACATTGAATCTGCAGAAAGCAAAAATGGAGATGTCATTCTTGTCCTTAATAAAATATGGGCATCAACTCTATTTGGTAAAATTTATGTTTGAAGAAGGAAGACACATTGCTCACAAAGAAACATAGATGTCATTATTCTCTCTTCTTCATTCTGCTGAAGCCAAACATTCTTTGATAAATCTGAAAATCAAACTTCGTTTCTTTCTAGAAGTTTCATATATAATTTTAGGGGTGGTCAGATTACCATTTGTAGACAGAAATACAAGGGATTAAGTAAATTGGCTGTAAATTATAGTGGGTGTTTTAATAAAACATAAAGGATGGGTTTTAGTAAATCTGTAAAACTACAAAGAGTGTTTCAGTGAACGATCCTAAATCCTATTTTACCATTTAATTCATTTTAACCCCAAGGTGAATAATCATATGCCCAGTGCTGTATGCGGTGGGCCAAAGGTTAATACAACTTTGGCTTGGGCGGCCCAGGCCCAAATTTGAACTTTCACCTGACATTAGCCCTGCAAGCCCAGCGCAAATTGAAGTCATACGAATTAATAATATTTTGTTTAATTCATTTCCATGGTGTGATTATATGTCAACAGGAGTATGGTTCATGCATTGCCACCTTGAAGTCCACACAAGTTGGGGTTTGAAGATGGCATGGGCTGTGATGGATGGAAAGCTCCCAAATCAAAAGCTGCCACCTCCACCGTCTGATCTTCCAAAGTGTTGATCTTGATCGCTTAAATTCGTTTGGAATGGACTAGTGCAATTATTTATTAACTTATTAATTTTGATTATCCGTTTTGTTTTTTTTTTCTCCTTACAATATCTCAGCTCCCCTTAACAGAAGAGTCAGTCCTTTGAGGCCTTGGTGTTTGTATTTGTTTTTTTCTTTCAAATTTTTATTTTTATTTTCTTCCTTCCTTGAAGGAGAAAAGAGAGAACAATAAAAGAAAGGCCAAGTTTTTGTATTTGTCTGAAGATTTAGATGTATGTGGGCCTGTGGGCAATCTTTTCTTTTTACATCTTTGCTCAACCTTAAGGTTGTGTTTGGTTGCAGTGAAAATTCATTTGCATCAATGCAAAATTATGATAGTGCAAATTATTTGAGTGCAAATTTTATTTTATTTTTGTTTTAAATTTTACCTTACTTTGTATTAAAAATGAAGTAAATTAAGATCCAATGCAAAATAAAATAAAATTTAAAACAAAATTAAACCAAAATTTGCATTTTTTTTATCATTTGCAGTCTCATAAATTTATATTAGTGCAAATAAAATTGCACTGCAATCAAATACAGCCTAAGGCTTAGTTTGGAAGGAATACAAATACAAATATATAGAGTACAAAACTATATATTTGTATTATTTTATATGTATTTATAATACACATATTTGTATTTATAGTCCTCAAACACAATAAATAGAAGAATTGAAATGTCCTTTTAATAGAATACTGTGCCTATCATTTGAAGGTACAATAAACAAATAAAGTGATTATCCATTGCAACTGTTAATGGGCTGACCTGTAATGGTTTTGTGTTTGTTCTATACTTGGCCTTGTCATGGTCAGCTATATGAATCCCGAATCATAAACATATAAGAGTTTGGCATAAGTTTCAATACTAGCTACCAATCTGATGCAACCCTCCACTTTTGGGACGGGATCAGCTGCCCAGTTCATGGAATGCGCCCCACAGTCCATCCCATCTGTGCATTCGAAGTATCTCCCCATGACAATAAGCGAGATTGGCTTCCATCAAGGTAAGCCCGTATCAACACTGTTTTAAAGCCTTTTGTAATTTTGTTGGACTGATGTTCTATTAGTGCCTTTCTGAACGCATTTCTACCACCTGGTCTTCAGTGTTGCAATGCTTCAATTCAATTTCTTTTCTTTTTTTTGCATCTAACTTGCGAATGAAATGATGATGAATTTCTACGTGTTTGGTTCTTCCTTGGTGAATTGGAGTTTTTGTGAGAGCAATAGTGGACCTATTGTCACAATGTACCCAAGTTGCCTCGTTTTGCTTCTTATTCAAATCATTCGAAATCCTTCGTAGCCAAATAGCTTGGTATGTAGTCATAGTTCTTAAAAGTGCAATAGTAGATTGCTTCTTTGTTGTCCAAGATATAACTCCTAAATTAAGGCTAAATAGGTAATTTGTTGTTCTTTTCCTATCATTAGTATTACCTGCCTAATCACTATTAGAAAAAGAGATTAGTTTAGAGTCAGTGATACTTGTATATCGTATGCCAAAATTGGGTGTGCCATTGAAGTATCTCAAAATCTTATTTGTATCTCCAAGACGATGCTTACTTGGTCTATGCATAAACCAGGAAATAATGATTAGGGAATAGTAGACCTCCAACCATGCTTTTGAAATATTTCTCATCACACTTCTCAACACCATCGATGAAGGAAAGTTTCTCATTCACATTCATAGGAGTTTTAGTAGTTTATTGTTTGACATTCCAAACTTTCTCAAGAGATCCAAAGATTTTTTTTGATAGATAGAAATTTCATTACTATCTTGAATAACATGAATTCCAAGCATTTTGACATTTCAAAACATTGTTCATATTCTCCTTAAAATTTTTAGCCATTTCAAACACGTGGCATTTAGGTGATACCTCGACATTGAGAAAGCATATCACCCCGATAAGGCGGCTAGTAGCACCTTGCCTAAGGCCGACCTAAAGTATCTTGGTTTGTCGGACCTAAAGGACATCTGCATAAGGAGCGACCTCCTTCAGGATCCATTCGAGCTAAGTAGGGTACAAATGGCAACCTACAATGCGTGCTTGCCAACTTATAACATAGATCCGTTAACAAGACCGAGTTCTCTGGAGTAATAACGCTCGACCGTTAAGCCAACCTACCCGCATCAGAGTCGATCGAAAGGCCCTTAGCTCTCTGCACAGATTATGTAACCGACAGAGATATTCTCTCCCGACTTAGCAAAAGCGGCTCCTGGGAATCTCGGATCGGTTACAAAGGGTATCTAATCCTTTACTCCTATATAAAGCCATCATTCTCCTGAGAGAAGGTACACACAATTAAGATCTTGCATACTCTCATCTTCCAAGCATTCTCATTCTCCAAGAAACTATTCACTGACTTAAGCATCGGAGTGCCCACCCTGGGTAAAAGCAACCCGGGCATTTTGATATTGTTTTCTCATAGGTCTCTCTAGAGGACTATACAACTTATCATCCGAGCTACCTTTAGCTCGGCCAAACTTAGCTTGGCTTCTGACAAGGAGACCTCCAGCTCAGTATCCTAGTCATCCGCCACGTGAAATCTGCCAGATCGCGCTCCATCAATTGGCATCGTTTGTGGGAACCACTACTAAAAGCCAAGACCAACCCACACTACAATCAGGTCACAGTGGGGCAAGACCAACCCACACTACTCCCAAAGGTCCCCTTAGTGACAATCAGACAAATCACTATGCCCTTGACTCCACCAAGCATCCCACCTGTGTCAAACTCAGCTCTTCCACTACCTTAGGTGAACACACCTCTTCCTACATTCGAGCCCTAAGTGGCTCCCGCTAGAATCGATGAGCGCCAGTTCTATAAGTTAGTGTAGTGTGTTTGGGAGATGGACTCGCAAATGAGAGCATGGGAAGATCGGTTCACCACCTTGCTAGGGGTGCAATAGCAACAAAAATCTCAGTAGTAGTAGTAGTGAACGCAGTAGCAGCGACAACAACAACAGTAGAACACTGGGCTGAACCCTAAATTGGTTCCCAACTAGGTCCCTAATCAGGTTCCCAACCAAGTTTCTAACCAAGTTCCAAACTAGGTTTCCGATCAAAACCTGAACCAAGCCCCGATGGAAGGGCAGAGCCGAGCTACTACGCCCATTGGAACTGAAGCTGCTAGCTCAACCGAAGGAGACGCTGTAGATGTACACACTGTGCCTTAGAGTCAACTCGCCCCGTTCGTGAGCGAGGTGGATAGAAAAATGAGAACAAGGAGTCCAGTTTGATTGGCAACTTGCCCGCATGACACCTATCTCGCACCTTGCCGCTAGCCGTTGAGATACTTGCGGCCCCGCGGCCTAAAGACTTCAAGGCCCCCAGTCTCGAATCCTATGATGGAATAATAGACCCTGTGGACGACATTGATAGTTTTCAAGCCTTAATGCAGCTACACAAGGCCAATGGTGCAAGTCTGTGAATGGCTTTCCTAACAACTCTCCGAGTAATAGCTCAGATGTGGTACTCGGGATTGGTCACCTGATCCATAAGAAGCTGGAACTAGTTCGCCACGCACTTTGCCACTAGCAAGAGGTTCCCCAAATCCGTGACTTGCCTATTGAATATCATCTAGCAACTAAATGAGACCCTCTGAGACTTCATCAAGAGATTCAATTTGGAGCGTCTCCAAATCCCCAACCTTGACCCAACAGTACAACTCACCATAGCGGTGAATGGTGTCCGCCACTTTGATTTACACTGGGAAGTTGAGTTGAACCCTCCAGCCTCTATGGAGGAGTTTCTCACCCAGGTTGATAAGTTCATGAAAGCGGAGGAGGCACTGGTTTGAGCCCATAGAAATATCGGCCTATGTATTTTACATAATGAATAGGTTCACTAGCACTCTTATGGAAGTCATTTTCTACAAAATACCAGCCTATGTATTTTGTTTTACTAGGTTTTTGGTGCTTGTTTGAGCCCATAGAGTGCCTTATTCAATTTTTACACTTTATGATCCATGCCTAGGGGTGGCCACGAGCCAAGACTTTCACGAGCTATTCAAGCTCAGATCAGCTTGGTTCAAACCGAGCCAAATTCAAGCTCACTATATAGGCTCATTTGCTAATCGAACCAAACTCGAGCCCAGTGAATCTTGGCTCGTGAGGCTCGTGAGCCTAGTATTAAATAAATAAATTTTATTATACATACATATATACAATAATTTTATTATATATAATAATATTTTTATTTTTCATGTATAATAGTAAATAATTTTTATAATTCTTATTTTCTTGTATGTAAAATAAAAATAATTTTTATAATAATTTTTTGTGTATGTAATATTAAATAATTTTTATAATTCTTAATTTTTGTCTAAAAATAAAAAATAATTTTATAAATATATTTTTTTTATTTAAAAAAAAAACTTGGCTTATAGTCGAGCTCGAGCTAAGCTGAGCCGAGCTCAAGCTCAAGTCTCTAGCTCAAATCGAGCTCGAGCCTGATACTATTCCTGCAAGCCGAGCTCAAATAGCCAAGTATTTGACTCAACTCGGCTTGAATCCACCCCTATCCATGCCTTCCTTCTCAAATCCCTATGGTTGCTCAACATATATCTCTTCCTCAAGATCACCATTGAAGAAGGCTGATTTGATATCAAGTTGAAAAACCTACCACTTCTTTTCGATTGCTAAGGCTAAAATAGTTTTAAAGTGTTAATTCTAGAGACAAGTTCAAAAGTTTCAAAGATACCATTACGTTATTGCTTCTTTTTTAGGAGGTAGATTAACCAATGTCTATTGGTCATTCTTTACAATGGCATTTATCTCTTGTTGCATTGTATTACACAATTCTTCTTTTGTTATTGCATCTTCAAAACATGTTGGTTTCATGGCACATAGAGCAAGTACACAAGAGGAATATATTTCATTAAGTCTTCTTATCTTCCTTGGAGGAGTTGAAAGAGCAAAATAAGATGGGATTATATCATGCATAGGCTTAACAGAAAATTCATTTGTTTCAATACACTAGTTAGTGTGCATGTGCTTTGCATTTAGCAACTTTTTATGATGATGGTAATAATAGATAATATGTTTCCAATTTTTTATATTTCTATTAAAATTATTCGTATTTTTCACACTTATTTTTATTTAATATGCTGAAATATATGATATTAGATATGTGCTCAAATGTTTTCTACCAATTTTTTTTGTATTTTTATACTTGTGTATTTTCATCTTTTAATTATTATTATTATTATTATTATTATTATTTAATT